CTTTTTTTTTTTCAAAGTGGAAAAAGAAAAGTAGCAGTGGTTCTTTAAATTTCCGAATCCCAGGGGGTGATGGTGGAGGTGTGTGGGGGGGGACATTATCTCTTGCCCTACTGTCAGAGTCTATATGGGAATATTGAAGTCACAGATGCGGAGGGAATGCATCCAGTTGGTAGATAACGCCTCACTGCCCTTTGACCCTCAGGTTAAACTGCTGTCTAGGTTGTTCAGTCCAGTAACCTAGTTCCAAGGAAAGAAAACTGCCAGTCGTCTGTCAGTATGCCAACACACTGAATCTTTCACAAAGAGACAAAGATGCAGTATCTTTGTAATGGCCTTTCCTCTTATTCCCCTTCTGTTAATAGCATTTAGGGGCACTCCAGTGTACAGAGTTTGGGGTGTTGCCCAGTAACTGAGAAACTGATGATTTTTCCATGCCTTGCAGTGAAAGTAATTAAGTAGCAGATTAATCTCTCTTTATGTTTAAGGCTTTCCTGTTAATAATTATACCGACAATGAGCATGATGCTCATCTATCTATCTATCTATCTATCTATCTATCTATCTATCTATCTATCTATCCATATATGTATATATGTATATATGGAGAGAGAGGGAGAGAGAGAGAGAGAGAGAGAGAGAGAGAGAGAGAGAGAGAGAGAGTGAGAGATAGAGAGGTAGATACTAGCATGTCTCTTATTATGAAGTCCTTTACAAGTCAGTATTTATGCACACACATTATGCATACACAAAATAAGTGCCTTCTTAGGATAGACATAGAATCATATGGCCACTTCTTTGGAGCTGGAAGGGATTTGTGAGATTATTTAACCCAATGTTAAATATTATTTTACAAATGTTATTTTACAGAGGTGGAAGCTGAGGCCCAAAGTGGTTAAATGATTCACCCCAGGTCTCTCAGGTTAGTAAGAAATAGAACCAGGGTTCATCCTCTGGATCTTCCAAATTGAGATAAGTCCACTTTCCATTATGCTACATTGATCTATGCATACAGAGACAATCTCTGATTAAACAAAATTGACTTATCTCTAACATTTCCCTAATTATAATAGCCAGGTAAGTTAATCAGTCAATTGTTATTAGTCAGTCAAGAGGCATTTATTAAACAACTACTATGAACCTGTCACTGGATTAGGTGTTGGAGGTACAAAGACAAAAATGACAGTTGCTACTTTCAAAGAGCTTATACACAGCTAGGGGAAATGACATGAATGTAGATACTTAAGTCCAAGATATAGATACTATAAATGCAAGGTCATTTCAGGGAGGACACTAGCAGGATCAGTAAAAGTGTTATTGAGCCTTGAAAGACATACTGAAGTATATTTGGGTTTTGAAGGAAGCTTTGATTCTAATATGCAGAGGCCAAGAAAAGGGAGTGCCTTCTAGGCCTGTGAATGTCCAATTGTGCAGAGAGAGGCATGAAATTGGAGATGAAACGCAGGTCAATTTGGCTGGGCCATTGGCTGCATGAAGGAGAGTGATGTGCAATATGTCTGAAAAGGTAGGTTTGAGCCAGATTTTGAAGGCCAAAGACTTTGTCTGGAGTATGTTCCCCTGTATGTAATAGGAAACAGCTGGAACTTTTTGAGAAAATGAGTAATGTGAGCAAACCTGTGCTGTAAAAATATCACTATGACAGCTGCGGGGAAAGAGGAGAAAATTGAAGCAGGGATGACAATTAGGAGGTTATCGCAGTAGTCCCAATAAGAAACCATAATATCTACAAACACATTTTACATGAAGTATATTCAATGATAAGTATGTCAATAAATATGCTTAGTTGAAGAGTAAACGAACCCTGAGACTCTCTAGTATAGGACTATGATGGACAGTCAGATTAGAGGTACAAGGCTAAGTGCCTGATAAAACCAGTGAGGTGCTTAAACAACTGTTTGTGAGAGGTTAGTGGTCCTTGTTCAGAAAATCCACCCCTCAGCTTCCTTTTGAAAACAGTTTACCCCCTTTTTGAATAACAGAGCTTTTAATTAAGCTGTGTTAAGGAAACTAACTGAACATGTTAAATTTTGAACGCTTTAGTGTGGCCTCAAGACGTTTCACACTTGTCTGTTTTTCCAGTGTCAGAAAACCATAGTTCTTTCAGTAGGTGGTGCTGTCTGCCTTTGAGTCAGACCTTAGCTAATGCCCTGTCCTGGAATGAGGGCAAACAAATAGCTGGAAAGACTATTGATTAAAATGAGACTTAAAGTTTTCATGTATATAGGAACAGCACTGATCTTGGACCACCCCCTTACCCTGATTCTTATGGAAGTTACCATCTTTGCCTTGGCCTCAGATTCTTAGCTCAGCTCAAGTGCTACCTCTGAAAAGAGGCCTTTCCTGATTCTTCCAGTTAGTGGTACTCTATCCTATCCATAATGAATTTGTATTTATTTTGCAATTGGTTATCTAAATACTTGTTACCTTTTCTGATGAATGTACATTCCTCGAGGGCAGGAACAGTTTTAGTTTTGTCTTTGATATCCTAGCACTTAACATGATTCCTAACCCATGAAAACCATTTGATAAAGTCCTGGTGAATTGAACTGAATTGGGTAAAAACTCAGCTTACTGTGGCAACATCATCTACTATATGTTTATTGAACTCAGGCTACCATCTATTCAAGTGCTTGATCATCACTTTATTTCAAAAAATTGTGTGTGTGTATGTGTATAAAATGTATATAGATCAATACATACATACATATATATACACCACATATATATATATAACTGATATATATGATTTTTGAAATGAATACTCTATATATAGATATATACTCTATCTATCTATCTATCTATCTATACTTTGTGTGTGTGTTTCTCTCTCTATACACACACACACACACGTAAATACATATACACACAGAGACAATCTCTAATAAAACAAACATTGAAATGTTCAAAGGTATATGGCATGGCCCTTCTATCAAAGAGTTTATAATATATTATGGAATATGATATGTGCACAGATAACTGAAGCACACATAGTATGTGTAAAATTGGTGATTGAAAACAAAATTCTGTAGCAGTTCAGAGGAGAGAGAGAGATTGCTCCTACCTGAGGTGATTGGGGAAAAAAAATATTTGATCAAAAAATAAGTAAGATTTTGACAAATAGAGATTAGGGGTTGGAAGAGGGCTTTCTAATTCAGGAATGGGAAAAAGTGTGGAGACCAGAAGTTACTCTCATGTGAGAGGACCACTTTGTCTGGAGAAGATGAGGATGGAAGAATAAACTGGGTAATTAGGTTACTTAAACTAGCTTCCAAATTTAATAAGTTTTCTGTCTCTTGCTTATCCTCACCCTAGTTAAAGGATGTTGGACCTTTGCTGTTTAACATTTTTTATCAATGACTTGCATAAAGGTGTTGATGACATGTTTATCAAATTTTGAATGACAGTGTCATGATCTCTCCTTTCCTCCCTCCCCCCCCCAAAAAAAAAGAGATCGTGACAGAATAGAATGATGGGTTAAATCTAATAGGATGAAATTTAATAGAAAATAAATATTGTCTTACACTTTCACTTAAAAAAAAGAATGGCACAAGGATAGAATCAGATGAGGGAAACATGGCCAGACAGTAGTTCACAGGGAAAAGATCTGGACATTTTGGTGGATACCATATGAGTGAGCAGTGTGATATAGCAGCCAAAAAACCCAAACCCTCCCCCCCCGCCACCCAAAAAAACCCCGAACCCTGGTATCTTTATTTACCTTAGCACAGGGCCTTGTACATGGTAAATATTTCATGCTTGTTGAATCTGTTTGTATAATGAACATTTATGTTGTATTTTAAGGTTTATGAAGTATTTCTATAGTTTGAAAGTAGATGATAACAAGTATTATCCCCATTTTGCAAAAAAAAAAAAAGGAAACTGAGACTGAGAGTTTATATAACTTGCCCACCCATAGTCACACAACTGGTAAATTTGTGAGATGGAATTCAAACCTGGGTCTCTTAATTCCATGTCCATATTCTACTACCCATGCTGAGGACAAACTATTTATGTTTCTTCCTACGTGATCCTTCTGAATTAAAATGGAGGGATGAAAATACCCTTCATCCATTTGTTGATGCTGAATGTTTGATGTGTTCCACCCCAGAAGAGGGAGTGTTCCATTTTGAACCATGACAGGAAAAATATTCTACAGAAAAATACGATTGTCAGCTATTGGTTGGGCTGTATTTCTTTAGCAGCCTTTAGCTACCCTCTTCTTCCTCTATTGGTTTATCCACCAACATTTTCAACACAGGAGAAGATTCTTAGAAATGCAGCTGTTCATGTTGATGAGAGCAAAGCTCCATCATGTCTACTGAACCCCCTTAAAGATGGGGCTATGCCTGTATTTCCATCTATGTTGTTTCCTATCTGGAAAGGTGTCTTTTGTCTCTGAATATTTGAAAAAAAAAACTATCCACGTTAGAGAAGTCAAATCGCCCCACCCTGGCCTGCCACCCCTTCACTGAAGTGTCAGTTCTTTGCTCATGTTGTGAATTTGTCCTACTCTCACCTGAGTTTGACACATGAACCTTGCCTGAAGGATGGCACTGAAAGCAAGGTCATGGGAAATCTGAGAGGGAAAGAGTAAGCAGAGAAGCAGAAACTCATTGCGGCTGGACTCTAGCTTAGGCAACCTAATAAAGATACAAGGAGCCAGTCCATTTGTCTTTTAGCCAAACATACTGGAAACCAGGGCCCTAATTAGAACTGTTGTGGTTTATTTATTGTTTTAATGAGCTTTGCTATGTAACCACAGCACCATTATGACTGGGCCATACCACAAGAGAAGGAAGTTCCAGTAATCCTTTTCTCAGCTTTCTTTTTTGTGTTGCTGGAAGCTGCCTCCTTTCGGCCACCCACTTCTCAGGTTTCTGGAGTTGGCAAGACCTTTCCTCTTATACAGTGATGCCCTCCTGTCACTCACTACTGTCTCTCACTCTCAGCCTTTCTCCCTTGCTTATGATGCCTTCTTTACAGATCCATCAGAGATGGCCCAGGGGTTTGTAATGAATACCATTCCTTTGTGGGAACCATTGTGGGAAGAAATGATGGTTTAGAAAGGACAGCAAGCTGTTGGACTGACATGTCACAGTCCCCTGGGTAAGTCGTAAGGGAAAGCTCATCCATTTTACATGATTTTTTCATGAGGTGCCACTAATCAAGAAGATACAGAAGTGTTTTTAGAGGATTATCATTGAGGTATAAGGCTAGGGGTAGGCACTTACATAAAATAATGAAGTCAAATGAGAGACTCAAGAAAACACATTATTCAGTTTGTGTGGAATGTTGAAATGAGGGACAAGAATTCAGGCTTTTAAAGTTCTTTAACATTCATTTTGCCATTGGGACAACTTAGGGGTAGGTGAAAATCTGATCACAAAGAGCTGGCTACATAAAGCATAAACATAGCAGTCTTTCAGCTGGCTCAGGAAGCAGTGTATTTAAAAGGGCACGGGACTTGGAATGGCCTACCAAATACGTGAGCATGAGCAAGTCACTTAAATTTCTTTTAGCCTGTTTTTTGTTGGTAAAATGGGCCTGGAGAGGCAGCATGACAGTGGATAAAGAGCTGACTTTAGAGTCAGGAAGACGTGGCTCAGAGTTCCGTCATACCGACCATATCACCCTGGGTAAATCACTCAATCTTTCAGTACCACAGGCAGCCCTGTAAGACTTTAAGTGACAGGGAAATGGAGAAAAATAAGCATTTATTAAACACCTACTATATTCAAGGCATAGGGAACACTAAAAATTGAAGGAAACAGCCCATGCCATGAAAGATGCAGTCATTTCACCTTAATTTTCTTGGCCCTGGGTCAGTCCATGAACTCATCATGCAGACATACCATCCAGCTGTACCTCACATGTAACTTTCCTATGTAAGCCACCACATTTTCCTGGAAAGTATAACACATATTCCCAGATAAATCAATATAATGTACCAGAGAGGAGAACACTGAGGATTGGGGTGAAGTGGGGAGAGGGTTGGAAAATACCTCATGGAAGAAGTGACATTTGAGATGCATCCTTTAAATACACACACACACACACACACACACACACACACACACACACACACACCCCAAAAAAATCCCCCTTATGACTGACTTTAAGCAAAATGTAGCTATAAACCGAAGCCATGCCTGGACCACAGTGCAGAAGTTGGTTGACCCTTTTACCCAAATAATGAGCAACTATTGGGAGAGTCCTAATGCTGTTTCATTATCTTTTTATTTCTTGCAGTAAATAGAACTAGACTATAACGTGAGCTTGTTTTCCATTTAGGCCACGTGAAGCTGAGATAAAGATAAGAATCTTAAATGGGAAATGAGACCTGTGCTATATACCTAAGTATAATTTTAGATTTTCTTGGAATGAAATTCCAGATGTGGGTAAAAACATGAGACAAAGTTGTGTTAAGTTTATACAATATTACATGTATGTGCTTCTTTTACATTTTTAAAACCCCAGACCAAGCCTAAAGGAATGTGGACCAAAATGCAAGGGTCACATGTTTGCTACAGCAAGGACAACTTTTCTTAGTCATCCTGTCAGAGAAGTGGATGAAATTCTCTAGTTCCTTTCTTTGTACTTAAGGATCAAAACCCATATCACATGTGAGGTCATTATTAATGCTAGTTGGACTAGATGTTCTCCCATTGCCTTTCTAGTTCTAATATTCTATGATGATAATCTTTTCAGAGTTACCCTTCTTGTATCTATCAGTTTGAGAGTCTTTCCCCTTGGTCTTAGAAGTAGAGTTGAGCCCATTAATGTAAAGTCTCTAGTTTGAATCTTCCACCTCCATAGTGATTTTACACAGGTCATCTCCCGTTCTTGATAGACCTCCCACCTCTCTCTCATCTCTGAATCCCTAGCTCCCTTCAATTCTCAGCTTACCTGCCACTTCCTACAGGAAGTCTTGCCTGATTTCCTCCCTCCACCCCTGTTCTTGCTCCCTTAGGAAAACTATGTTCACTTTGTATATGTTTTGTATTTATTTTCCTATGTGCATGCTGTTTTCCCTAGTAGAATGTAAGCTCTTGAGGGCATGACTGGTTTCATTTTTGACTTATATTCTAAGCATCAAGCACAGCAGCTTGTATATAACATCATTAAATACAAAATCCAGTTATCTAGTGACTCAAGTAGAGCAACTGAGTTGAGGTAATAGTGATAATAACAATAGTAATAATAATAATAATAATAATAGCAATTACTTGGCAGTTTAAGGTTTGCAAAGCATTTTATGTCTTAACTCATTTGATCATCACAGTAACCTTGGGAGATAGGTGCTATTATTATTCCTCATTTTACGGATGAGAAAACTGAGACAAACAGAGGTTAAGTGACTAGCCCTGGTAGTTACAGCCTGAGGCCAGATTTGAACTCAGGCCTTCTGTTCTCCAAATCTAGGGTTCTATCTGCTACCTTGTCTAGCTGCTCCTTGCAGATCCATGGCATAAAGAACTTGTCCATCTCTGCCCCACTTTCCAAGAACTTCATTGTCTTCTAACTTCAGTCATTTTGCATCTGTTCTTCATTTGGTGGGGGAGTGAGCAAATACGTTGGGGATGACAGTGCCCTTCCAAAAGCATCCTCTGTTTCACTTCCTTCCAAATAGCATGGGAAATGGAGCACAAAAATACCCTGTGGAAGGTTAAGTGCTCTGTTCTAAATGTAGTGGATATGGAGGAACCAGTGAAGCAAAGGGTGTAGTAAGGGTGGGGAGGGGAGGCAAGGGTTCTCATGTAATGTCTTTCTCCTTTGCTGTTGTTTGGATGTAATGATGCTGTATGACAATTAATATTTTAGTGAGATTGCACAAAGAAAGACGAGACAGAATTTTTAGGAGACTAAACTGAGTAATTAAAAGGGAAGTCCTATGTTCTGACAAAATGGATAAGGAGAATTACTTGGACCCAGGCTAGCTTATTCGGAGGTTGGGCTATATCAGAATGTAGGTAGGCTTAAGGGCCCAGGGCAGGAGGTATTCTGACCAGTGGTGTCAAACTGAAATAGAAACTGGGCTACTAAGCCAGGCATAGGGATCCCTGTGAGCCACTTATTTTTAAAATGTAATATCTATTTGATATTATTTTTATTTTGTTTTCTAGTTGTATTTTAATCTCCGGACTGTTGTGGGCCACGTGTGCAGGCATGTTTGATACCTTTTGGTCTAGAAAACTTACAGGGATCTCTGGAGGCCTTCTGCAGAACCCCCAAAGGAGTCTGGTATCATCCAGACATGTCACCTAATCCTCAAATTAACATCAGTCTCTCATTCAAATCTAAAATCATCATAGAATACCAAGAGACTGCCAAAAAGGTGAAAACTCAAAGCCAGAGGGATTCTTGCAGAGCTACTATATTGGTGTAGAACAGAGGTTTCAAATAGGCTGTATGCAGCCTGCTATACTCTGGAGTGCAGCCTGAACCTGATTAAAATGTAATAGGGAACTATTTAACAAAATAAAGATAAAATAAAATGTAGATACTATTACATTTTAAAACTAAGGCAATATTAGTAGGATGTAGGGATACTTATACACAGATTATTCTCCTCTCCCCTTTCTATTTGAGTTTGACACCATTGGTCCTCAATGTGTTATCCCAGGACTTGGGTTCAGACCAGATTGGCCTTTTGGGCTGAAGAGTTTTCTCTGCCTAGATTGACTTCCTTTTCTTCACTTCACTAGGTCAATGAATCCATCCAAGCTAAGCTTAAAACTTACTGACTTTCTGAAGCCTTCCCAGACCACCCTGATATACTTGGTTATGTTTGCATTTATTTATTTATTTATTTATTCATTTATTTATTTGTTTATTTACTTATTTACTTATTTATTTATTTATTTATTTATTTATTTATTTATTCATTCATTCATTCATTCATTCATTCATTCATTCATTTATTTATTTATTTTCTAGTTGTTTTATAAATATATTTCATCTGTCTAATTAGTTTATAAGTGGTTCAAAGGCCAAAAGCTTTGTTTTTTGCTTCTTTTCTCTTCCCCACAGTTCTTTTAGTGACAGGCATATGACAAATGCTTGATAAACCCTTGTTGGCTACTTTACCAGTGGAGATACTTCCCTGCTCATTGCTCACGTGCTCCTCAGTAGTTACAGGTAAGGTGAATTGAGTTTTTTTTTTTTAATTCTAGGTAAGAGTTGTTCAGTTGAACCCTGGACTCAGAGTTTAGGCAGCTTTCCCTCAAGGAAGCAAGTGTGTACAGTTATACCTTGGAGATATTGTGGGTTCAATTCCAGACCACCATGGTAAAGCAAGTCACACAATTCTTTTGGTTCCCCCAGTGTATTAAAAGGTTTTGTTTACACAATACTGTAATCTGTTAAGTGTGCAATAACCTTGTGTCTAAAAATTATATATGTACCTTACTTTTAAAAGTATTTTATTGCTGAAAAATATGCTAGCCATCATCTCAGCCTTTAGCAAGTTGTAATCTTTTTTTTTGCTGATGAAGGATCTTGCCTCACTGTTGATGGCTGCTGACTGATTAGGGTGGTGATTGCTGAAGGTTGGGATGGCTGTGGCAATTTCTTAAAATAAGACAACAATGAAATTTGCCTCATCGATTGACTCTTCCTTCACTTGAACACTTAGAGGCCGTTGCAGTGTTATTAATTGTCCTAATTTCAATATTGTTGTATCTCAGGGAATAGGGAAGCCCCAGGAGGGGGTGAGAGAGAGAGAGAGAGAGAGAGAGAGAGAGAGAGAGAGAGAGAGAGAGAGAGAGAGAGAGAGACTGGAATAGCTAAGGGGCAGAGCAATCAAAACACACATATTTATTGATTAAGTTCTCCCTCCCTCTTATATGGATGCTATTTGTAGTGCCTCAAAACAATTACAGTATTAAAATTAGAAAATCACTGATCATAGATCATCATAACATATAATAATAATAATAATAATAAAAAGCTTGGAATATTGGTAGTTTTACCAAAATGTGACATAGAGACATAATGTGAACATATGCTGTTGGAAAAATGGTGCCCACAGACTTGCTTGATGCATGGTTGCCACACACCTTCAATTTTTATTGATATTTGTGAAGTGTAATATTTTCGAAGCACAATAAAGCAAAGCTGTGTGCCTATATACATAATCTTAATACATCACTGCTGTAATAATAATGATAATAATAACAATAATAGATATTTGTACTGTGCTCTAAGGTCTTCAAAGTGCTTTACGTATGGTATAGTTTGATACTCATTTCTGTGAGATAAGTGCTATGTATACTATAACCTTCATTTTATAGGTGAAAAAACTGAGGCTCCTCATGGTTTAGTAAATTACCCAGGGCTACTCAGCCAGTATGTGTCTGAGACAGGATTTCAACCTTCTGACACCAGGCCCTACTCTGTTGTACAACAGAGAAATGATGAAGAAAACATTCTGGACTCACAAGTCTATCTTGGAGTAAGTGGAAGAGGTGCTTAACTAGAAGGAATGATGTTTCAAAAGACTTCAAATGGGTAATTAGGACATTGTCACTACTAAGCTGTGAAGAACTGCTCTCTTTAGCTATAAGAGTTGCAGTTGGGAGCCATATCATGAAAATACATTTGTGCAACTTGCCAACATTAGAACTCAGAGATAGTACAATCTTTAAAGACTGTCCCTTGAAACAGAGTGGTGAGGTGGCCAGGGCTGCTCCAGGAGCTGTGGTGAGTCTTTCATCATTTTAAAAGCATTCCTGAGGGGGCAGAAAAAAAGGACGAAATACTGAAAATAAAAGTTAATTAAAAAATAAAATCAAGAGAAATGTGTCTCGGAGGCCACCTCTGTTACAGAGACCACCTGTCATTAAGCATTTTCCTGTCTATAAACCCAAGATTGGAAGCCAATCTACTATTCAGTTCTTTAATTTTTAATGCTTCTCTTCTGGTCTCCAAGGTAGCTATTATAGGCAGAAGCTGTCGCCTATATTTTTCCTTATAGATGTCTCTGCGTGTTTGTAGATGCACGTGTATACACATACATATGTGCTATACATTCAAAAAGTGAGTGCTCAGGATGCAGACAAAAGCACCCTTTGTGAGATTTTTGTTTTCTTTCAATTGTAAATAAATGAGGAGCTCACTCTTGTAATGAACTATCCTTTTCTTCCTCTTGGTGCAGCTAGATGGGTTTAGACAAGGAGGCTGGAAATGTTTGCCTTAGGGTAGAATGAAGTGAATAACATAGAAGTTGGAAGAAAATCTGTAAACTCAATTCTTCAGATTTTTTGTTTATTTCATTGCTTTATGTTATAGTTGTTATAATATATTATAACCATGAGACGGTGGGAACCTATGATTCAAATAATTTAGGGAATAATAATTAAAAAAAACTATGAAGACTTTTGGTTCTTGGACAATCAAATCAGTTCTGGATCTAGCCAGTAAAAATGAGAAGTTAAAAATGGTTTCATTTCTCATTCTGGTAAAATGCAGATTGAATGAGATATCATTCAAGTCAACTAACACTTATTAAGAAAGGAGGAAGAGAGGATGCCCAAGTGCTGGGGTAGACAGAGAGCTGACCTTAGAGTGAGGAAATCGTGGTTGGATTCAAGACCTGCCTCTGACACGTTCAAGCTATGTGACCCTCGCTAGCCAAGTCTCCTTACCTCCCCATACCTAAGCAATGCTTCAAATGTATCTGTTTCAGGCTAGTTAAAGATCTGTGTTGGGAAAGATTTTTTGTTTTGACCAGGCAGTTGGTCGGTAGCATTTATTAAGTACTTACTATATGCCAGGCACTGTGCTAAGTGTTGGAGGTCCATAAGAGCTGTATGTTATTATACGAAATAAATTTTTTTTAAATCAATAATCAGTAAACACAGTAGGATCTTATTATATTCTCTAATACCTCTCAGCCAGTGGAAAATCATCTGTGAAAGCCTGTTGTTTTATTAAGTGACAACAATAAAATTCTGCTGTTATTACTAACAAGAGAACTATAAATTATGCTCAATGTTTACAATGTCATTTTTGGAAGGGCTTTAATTTTGTCGTTTCAGGGTAGTTTTGAAGGTAAGGAAGAAACTCCTGACGTTAGTAAGTGAGGAAGTCTCAGGGGGACTCCAGAGAAGTTATGAAACACAAATTACCATTGTTCTAATTAGAACACCAATTATTAAGTTATATCATGTCTAAGTCCTTTCCATGTCTTCCAGAGCTGTGATTATGCATGTCTTTCCAGAAAGAAAATGGCATTTCCACTTTATAGTGACATGGCTTTGATCAGAGACTTAGCTGATAGAATAATGGAGATGTTGCTTTTACAAGTTGTTTTGTATACCATGGAGACCTTAACAAAAATCCAATGTGAGAAGAACTGATGTGTCTACATGCTAGACAAGTGTTGCTCTGAGGTTGTGGCTAATATTGAACTTTTGTAACAAATTCGGCAGTGCCTCATAGGCTTCTTTAAGACAAAAAATTAGAGTACGCACAGAGGTGGTTAAGTATTGAGAACATGGGTACCTTGAATCAGAACACTCCATAGATAGTTACTATATAGACAGTGGCAGCAAAAAAGGCAACATCTGTTTAATCTTTTCAATCCACCAAGTGATCAAAGAGTTTGCAGATGACAACTGAACGCTTATTTTAAACAATACACCACAGGTTTGTGATAGAGAATTTCATCTACTTTTTCCAGCTTCTGTGTTAAGGGGAATGAACTTCTAATCTAGCAACATTGTTTAAGCTTTTACTTGCAATTCACTGTGCTGGAGACACTAGGACAAGAATGAAATAATCCCTAACCATTAGAGAGGGTAGAACTAGGAATAGTATATTGTTGATAAGGCCCTGGAAAAAGGAAGAACTGAGTCTAAAACCTGCTTCAGATGCTTATTAGCTGTTGACTGTGGACAAACCAACAAATGTTTCTTGAGTGCTGTGTTCAAGACACTGTGCTAAGCACTGGGGATAGAAATACAAGCAGAAAGAAATACAGCCCATACTATTCAGGAGGGCAGCTGGTAGAAGAATGAAGACATGGTGGGCCTAGGCAGCCTTCTTGAAATGGAAGTTCTGGGAGGAACCAGTAAAACAGAGGAAGAGACCTTGGGATGGAGGATACTTCCAATGTGAGAAGTCCAGGGGAGAAATAAATTTGCTGGGTGGATGTTTACGTCATGTAGTAGAGAAATTCCGGAGAATCAATAGTGCAGCCTGGAAAAGAATAAAGGAATGGATAGGTTATTTAACCTCTGTGTGCCTCAGTTTCTTCATCTGTAAAATGGGCTTAACCTTGATAGCCTCTAAGGGCCTTTCAGGTCAGGTCAGGTCCATTCTGAATCTATTCAAAGACTATACAGGAAGGAAGAAAACAAGAATTTATTAAGCACCTACAATATAGTGGGCACTGTGCTAAGTAATCACTTTCCAAATATCTTATTTGATCCTCATGATAACTGTGAGAGTCAGGTGCTATCCTAAGCAATTTTACTGTTGAAAAAAACTGAGGCAAACAAAGGTTAAGTGACTTGCCCAAGGTCACATAGCTAGTAAGTGTCTGAAATGTGATTTGAACTTAGGTCTTCCTGACTGCAAGCCCAGCTTTCCATCCATTGGGCCACCAAGCTTCCTCCCTATACAGAGAGGCATATTTTAGCTTAATATAGGAAATGACTTTATAATAACCAAAAATGAAATGTGTTGCTAAGTAAGATGTGGAATTACCCTTTTTGGAAATGTTCAAGTACTGTCTGACTGATGGGTATGTTATATCAAAGATTTCTGCGGGTCTTGGGACATGGAGTAAATGACCTTTAAGGTGTCTTAAATCTCTGAGGTTCTATTATTCTATTTAATTTTGATTAAGTATCTCAAGGCAGAATGGTTATACATAGCTTCATTTTCACCCTATATGACTCCTACTTCTACCTAGATATCATTGCTGTCCTCCACTGTTCCTAGCCTCAAAGTTGCATACCAAATAGTGTTGGCTGTTTGCTGAAATTCTTATTTAATCCCCCCTTGCCTGCAGCTTGGGCATTTAGAGCTCCCTTTTCAATGACTTTAGTATAGCTCCTAAGTTCTATAGAGTCCAACATGAAAAAAATGGTATTCTTTCCCTTTAAAATGATTCATTGATATGTAACATCATT